TGTATGTATGTATGTATTTATGTCTATAATTGGACTCCTGGCATGGTGTTGTAGGATGAGCACTGGACCACAAGGTTGGTGGTTCAAACCCCATCAACTGTTTCTTGGAAACCCTGTATAACGTCACTGTGAGTTAGAACCAACGGGCGGCACTAACCAGCAGCAACAAATGTATATACTACACATGCAAAGAGAGAAAAACCACCCACTTACCCTTTGTTGGGTTCTTGTGCTAATCACTTCATGTGTATTATCACATTTTATCTTAAGAAAAACCTTATGAAGAAAGTAGAGATTCCATGTTATATTTGTGGAAGCTGACAGTTAGTGAAATTTAGTAATTTTTCCAACTTAATGCAACTAATAATTGATCTAAAGATAAGTCTCTTTATGGTCTCCAAGTTTGAGGGATGCTGGTAAAACAAAATTAAGTAATTTTTCAGAATCTTCAGTAGGCCAAGAAGCAAGCCTTACTGGAAAATCTATTGTGAAGGTGATATTAAGACACTCAATAGTACTTTAAAAACAAGATAATGAATACCTGTTTCTTTTGTTGGTGAAAATTTGAATACATGCATGAATTAAAATATATTTTAAAGTAAAACTCTATGATGTTTTGAGACTAATTTTCTAGTTGTAAAATGGAGAGGAAATCATTTTAAATGACTATGGTTTAGGGATAGGTAATTTATTTGTTTCAGACAAGTTCTGTAAGTTTTAATTAATGTATGTAAATATTTATTTTGTAAAGTATAGATGGTGATCTAAAACTGAAAATAGTTACAGTATAGATAATTTTACATATCTTCATAGTTAAAGTTCAAAAAAGAAATAGACAAATGAGACAAAGAAACAGTTATCAGAAAGAGTAAATCGAAGGCATTAAAGTGGTTAAGTGCATACGATCGGAGCTGTACTGCAGAGTTCTTGACTGTTTGATTTACCAGCTAGTTATTTTGACCAAGTTGTTTAACTGCTCTGTTCTTCAATTTCTTTACTTATAAAATACGTTAATAATACTTACATATTTTGAGGGACTATTGTTGAGTGTTACCTGAGTAGAACTATACCTACTGCATACCTAGTAGTGCTCTTTAGTAATCATAAAGATAAAAGGGAAACAAGTATTATATACTCTATGAGAAAATAAGAAAAAAAAAAGGATAAGGAAGAATATTAACAATGATCAAATACTATAGAGAAAATAAGAGAATAAGTAACTATGTTAAAAAGTAAATGAAAACAAAAATTGGGGATTTTTTAAAGTTCTTTGCAATCACATTAGAAAATTTTTTT